TGACATTCACAATTAATACAGTAAAAACACATCACTAAAGAAAACTAAAACAGTTCTTCCGGGCCATTAGCTCATAAAAATTACCAAAAATATTATAGAAACTTGGCATTTAACATAGAGCCTCACAATTGGACAACTTTTCTTGGACAAAATTCAAGTAAACAGTATAATGGCTAAAGTTGCAAACACATAGGACAAACTCATTTAATAGGTAATATCTGTGCATAAGACTTGAAAAACATGCACAGTTACCTTGTGACATTAATAGGAAAAAATCGGTTTTCTGATTTATAACTAAACAGTGTAATTCTGCTACCATTTACTAAGTGTGTCTATATTCTAGGCACTATTATGTGAAATGCTTTGTATACATTATCTCTTTTTATTTTCACAACAGCCCTGAGAAGCAGGCCCTATTATTTTCTTCATTTTACCAATGAACAAATTAAGGCTCAAAAAAACTTACTGAAGGTCAATTGGTCAGAAAGTCAAAGAGACACATTTAAAATAATGATTGATCTGACTCCAACCCCTCCATGATTAACTACAATGTAAATGTACCTCTCCTTCACATGCTGGGGTAGGGACAGGAAGAACTAAAATAAACAAATGAACCTTCTGCATTTTCCATTTTAAAAAACACTGTTTATGGCAAACTGAATCTTTGACCAAAGAGTTGGAGAGTTAACCAACTTTTTCATTATATTGCCCACAATCCACAAACGAATAATGATTATATCACCAACAAAATACTTTTCTGTAATTATGGTACAAGTAAAATGGTCTCTAATGATAAAATACTGAACCATAAATTAGATTAATGTATTCTCCTCCAAACTCTAGCAAAAACCAAAATGCTTTGACCAACAGCCTTAATACAAATTTATACAATGACCTAGTCACAGTAAACAGATCATCCTATATACTGCTACACACAAAAACCTGTACATGAATTTTTATAGCAACTCTATTGGTTATGCCAAAATTCTGAAGAGAACCCAGAGGTCCTTCAGTGTGTGGATGGTTGGACAAACTTTGGTATATCCATGCAAGGGACTACTACTCAGCAATAAAAAGGAATGAACTCCTGATAGATGCAACAATCTGAATGGACCTCAAGGGCCTTATGCTTAGTGAAAAACATCAATCTCAAAAGGTTACATGCTGTATGAGTCCACTGATGTAACATTCTTAAATATGACAAAACTATAGAGATGAAGAATGGTAGGGGTGCAAGGAGAGGAGGGCAAAGAGGCGGGTGCCACTACAAAGGGCATTCTTTTCAGGAAAATCAAACAGTTCTGTATCATGATTATGGTGATAACCATGCATCTGTACATGGGGTAAAGCTGCAGAGAACTATAGAAACAAACACACACAAATGCAGGTTAAAAAATGGTGAAAATTGAATAAGGTCTACAGTCTAGTTAATAATAATAGACCAATGTCAGTTTCCTGGTTGTGATATATGATGTCACCATTGGGGGGGGGCTTACACAGGTGAAGGTGAAAGATACATAGGACTCTTTGTACTGTCTTTGCAATTTCCTATAATTATTTCAACATAAAAAGTTTAAACAAACAAACAAAAAGTTTAAATAAAAAATGGCCTCGGGTATGAGAACCTGAATTTGAATCTGGGTCTGCCTAACTCTAAAACTTATGCTACTGCCCTATAGACCCTACTGCCTATAAAATCTGTTTTATTAAATATACCAAATATGTATTATTTCTTACGAAGAAGAATAAAAATTACACAGAAGGCTTATCCTAGGTCACATTTAAAGAAACCCAAGCAAGTTGAAAAAGTATTTTATTAGGAAAAACTTTTAACTATCAAATCATTTCATTTATGGCAGGTAAGCCTAGGTGTTCCAATGTACTAATATTAACATACGCATGGAAAGAGAATGTTGGAAGTTTGATAGAAAGTGATGTCTGGGTTGCTTTGGCACCATGACTGGGGGCATTGCCTCTCATTCCCCTCTCACTAGAAGCAGCTCTGGAATCTCCTGCCATGTTGCCTTGTTCACTTGAAAGATTAACAGCTGTTCCTCTTCTTACATACCAGGCAAACAAACTGCACAGCAGAAAGCTGTAAACAGAGTCATTACACTGTATATTTGGCATCTTTCTTCCATATACACAGGAACTTCCTGATGAGGTTGTCCTTGTGAGATGTAGAACATGTCCAAATTATAATATAATCTCAGCCAGACAGGTGACTAAAGTTGCCAAATGGTTTCTGGGAGTGAGTGAAAGTTGCTGCCTGCCTTCATATTAATTCATCAAACCCTTGTACACTATGTGGCAGCTATGAAAAAATTACACATACAGGCAAGGACAAGAATCAAAATAGTGATGGGATGTCTTCCCATTAGTTGCATTTTCCTGCTTAGCACCATTTTATTCTGTTTCAATAAAAATTATCCCATAAATATTATATTTATTGATCAAATAAATCATTTTTAAAATCAGGGCCACACTGATTCACTATGTCAAGTCCTCAATGTTGAATGTGCCACTGGTTAGAGGTGCTTTGGAGTATATGGTTCAATTACATATAGTTCAATCTAACACATAAACAGTATCAAGCATTTATTAAGAACATAATGGCATGACATTGCTTTGGAAGTTAACACAGAAGATGGAAAAGACACCAGTCTGTAGCCTTAAGGGGGAGATACACAGGTATACAGTTAGCAAAACCCAAGAAAAACCATAATTACTGCTATTATTAAGTGTGCTAAGATGGCCTATTCAGTGTTAGGTTAATAACAAGAAAGACAAAACTCAAGAGAGAGGTCCTCAGGCATTTAAGAAGGAAATATGGGTCATTAATTGTACCCCACAGAGCAGAATTAGGATCAAAAGCTAGAAATTACAAGAATATACAGGAAGGCTGTTGATTGATATATATATATATATATACATACATATACATATGTGCGTATATATAAATATATTATTAAATTTTTTTGAAATTATAGCTCATATGTTTATAGAATTTAGGGCATAACAAATCATTAATAATTTAGTAACTACAATGATCTTATAAAACCTCTGTATGGAGAGGAGTTCATGAGATCCCTTCAAAGTGCAGTCTTTTCCAGAGGTCCCACAGGTCAGAGAAAACCAGCTTTATACCCAGGGCCACAAATGAACAGTCCACAGGGACTAGCTACAAGGGAGAGAGACTTACAGCCTAAGAGGTGATACGAGGACATAATTCTGTCCAAAAGAAATGATTCATATCGGGTAGAGACTAAATGACCAAGACATATCCCCTCTCTTGAAGAGTTTTGTATTTTAGAGAGGTAACAGACGAGAAAGGAATTACAGAGGCATCAGAAGAAGAGAAAGAGAGAAACAGCTCTGAGTATAGCAAAGCAAATACAGTACAAAGCAACTGATAGCCAATTCTACAGGAATAACAAGCTGACTAGGCTTCCCAACTTCCTTTGGGATCGCCAAAACGATGCTATATTAACGTTCCAGTCCTCCATGAAACCCTCCTGTTCACCCACCAAAGCATGTTCCTACTATCCTGTGTGAATTTTTTCATCACCAAAGGGAACCTTGCAACAATGTTGAACTTTACATAAATCCTGTACTTCTAGAAAACAGGGACTGCCAAAAAATTACCCCTCACCCTTCTGTGTTTCAGGAAACAGCTTACAGCAAAGAACTACTCTTGCGTATATGACTTAAATAAACCTCGTGGATGACTTCCTGTAACCTATGACAAGACCAAGACACAGATCCTCCAAATTCCCATTCTTTCACTCGTAAATGATTAACTGAACTGTTTGTCCCCATTGACCCTTCTGGCTGGTCAATGGCTATTAACTGTAGTTGACCAAACTTCACTCAGGCTTTTTTCCCTCGTCCAAGTCTGTGGACTTTGACCCACCACTGAACAATGCAAAGTGAACAACTCCTCTTGAACCACTTCTCTCAAGAATCAGCTGACTTCAGGGAAGAATATACTCTGATCAACTCTCCAATCTTGCCACCAACTCATCCTAGTACCCTACCTACCCCCATTCTTTTTATCCTGTTTACTCCTTTTTTAAAAATTTTTATCATATTTTTTCAGTGTTCCAAGACTGATGGTTTACTCCTTCCTATGAAAGAAAAGCCCCTTTCTGCTTGGCCTTTGAGATGCTTATAGATCTCATGACAGAAGTGGTTCTTCCTTTTGCAATATTCTTCCTCTGCCTATGAGGATAGTTCTCTTCTCCTTACTGTAATCATCTTTTTGAATAAAGCCTCTCCTTACCTAAGTCCAAATTTGTTTTTATTTGGCATTTTCAACCTGAAAAAAGCATACCTTTGTAAAGCACAAAGTCATTAAATATCCTCTTATTATTGACATTTATTTTTATAGACTCACAACTACTACACATTTCTTGATATACAGCCACAAAATAAAATATATAGGAGATACTACCATAAAAAACACTGTTATTTTCCCCAATGTTCAAACATAAAAATTGGTTATTAAAATAATTAAAACATTCCATATCAAACATGAAAAGTAACAACCAAACAACTGTGATTTGGAAATCGCAGAAACAATTACTTTCTATTTTACTTTTTTTCTGGTGTTCAATCATCTCTTTACAACCTCTTCAAAAGAAGGAAAAACCTTAATGACTTTGTTTTTATACTGGACAATTATTAACTCAAGCATGAAACCAACAGTAATAGAGCTTCTAAAGTTTTCTCAGCAGAACTTTCTGCAACAATCTACCACTCTTCCAGTGGTCCTGTACCATAGTCTCAATTTAGCATGGATACGATGAGTTAGCAAATTAATTATAGCACATACATAAACTAGTCCTTAGTGTTTTTAATCCAGAAGGAAGTGCATAAGATATTTCTATACCAGGAAGGACATCTTTTCATAAAATACTTATATTCCTGTTTATGAGAAATATTTTAAAATAATACTCATATAACAAATACATCACACACACACAAAATCAAGTACTCACCCGCGTTGACTATAGCATCTACCTCTAGCAATGTGATGTCACCTCTATAGAGAGAAACTTTTTCACTCAAGCTTTTCTTCACCTGTGATGTTTCCTGAGTATTTTCTTCTGTAATAAAAAAGGAATATATATCAATAGTAATAGTTTTAATTTACTTAATAAAGACAATTTTTTTTAAAGATTTTATTTATTTGACAGACAGAGATCACAAGTGGACAGAGAGGCAGGCAGAGAGAGAGAGAGGAGGAAACAGACTCCCTGCGGAGCAGAGAGCCCAATGCGGGACTCGATCCCAGGACCCTGAGATCATGACCTGAGCTGAAAGCAGAGGCTTAACCCACTGAGCCACCCAGGTGCCCAATAAAGACAATTTTGATACAAAAGCCAATATGGGTCATAATCTGATATACTAGACAAGTGGAAATAAATGTGTAAGTACCAGGGCTGTGGCTTATTCTCTATTTGTTATGTATTCCTCAATACAAATGCAGTATCACTTATATAATAGGCATTCAATAAATTTAGACATGTTACATTGGTCAACAAAAAATTCAATGTTATTATTATGAAAACACCAAATTTAAAATAAAATTATGTACCACTAGTTTCATAAAATAAATAAAAGATGCACAACCACCACAACAAAATAAATTTTTACAGTGAACAAGCTTATTTCTATTTTGTTCTAGTTAGCTAAAGTCATCCTTGAAAAGAATATTCACTCAGAACAAAAACATGTAGGTTCAGCTCTCTGCTACTTCTAAGTATCAAATGTCCTACTTCTAAGTAAGAAATGTCCCTCAGAATGGGATGGATCAAGAATATCTGAATGGGTGGGGCGTCTGGGTGGCTCAGTCAGTTAAGAGGTTGCTTTTAGCTCAAGTCATGATCCCAGGGTCCTGGGATGGAGCCCCACATCAGGCTCCCGGCTCAATGGAGAGCCTGCTTCTCCCTCTCCCTCTGCCTACCACTCCCCCTACTGTACTCTATCTCTCTTTCTCTGTCAAATAAATAAATAAAATCTTAAAAAATATATATTTGAATGGGTGAAGATAAGCTTTTCTTATCAAACTGTAGCAGCCTTTCACTCTAGAGGGCGCTGCTAGATTTAAAAGCGAAAAAGCTCTGCCCAGCACACAACAACCAGAAGGCTTGTATATTGAAAACAAGCAAAAACATCACATTCTACAACTCGACAGATTTTCCAATGTTTTATGGCAATACTATAATTTGAGTTTCATTCATTTTTAACAGGTAGTAACATTAAGACATTAGGTAAAGCTATATAACATCAATGTTTTAAAATACATTACTATACATAAAAAGCTTTTCAATATACCTCTAGGAAAGCTGAGATCTATTTCTAAATACTCTATTCTGTTCCACTGAATACTTCTTACAAATATATTCCCCCCTTTTTTTTTATGTAAGTAATTTCTTGTTCTGCTTGATCCTGAGTTAGCAGTTTTTCAAACCAGTCAGCTTCTCCATTAGTGCTGGAAATCCTTATTCAATCCAGCAGTATGGTCTCAAAGTTATTTAAACACTAGTGCTTCACAAGCCTGTAGCCCAGAGGACCTGTCATAGCCCTTTCCATGGTCTCTGAGATGGTTACATTTTGTTGAAGAGGAAGCACTTTGCCTGTGACTTCAAGAGCTTTCAAGGAAGAGTCAGAGTAAAATAAAAGTTATCTGTGAATGATAAAAGACTTTTTTACATGATTAAAGATCTGAAGAGTTCATTATTAAAATAATGCAACTGATGGGGGAATTTGGTTATTTCTACAACATATAATGTTTAAATAACTGGAATTGTAACTGATAATATTATACCAGGACTTACCACAGACAAAAGGATACTGGCAAATTTGTATAAACTTCATATAATTTCTTAAATATCTATATTTACACAAATATAACCTAGGGAAGCTTAAGCATCACTTCTTTCCTTTTTTTTTTTTTGGCTCTAAAATATTTATTTTTTTAAATTAACATATAATGTATTATTTGCTTCAGGGGTACAGGTCTGTGAATCATCATTCTTACACAATTCACAGCACTCACCACAGCACATACCCTCCCCAATATCCATAACCCAGCCACTTATCCCTCCCACCCCACCTCCCAGCAACCCTCAGTTTGTTTCCTAAGATTAGGAGTCTCTCTTACGGTTTGTCTCCCTCCCTGGTCCCATCTTGTTTATTTTTTTCCCTCCCTACCCCCCACAACTCCCCCCCAACCCTGCCTCTCAAATTCCTCATATCAGAGAGATCATGTGATAACTGTCTTTCTCTGACTGACTTATTTCTAAGCATCACTTCTTACTTAACAATGTCTCCCATGCAATTTAAATATCAAAATATTTGCCCAGGGGCACCTGGGTGGCTCAGAGTTAAGTGGCTGCCTTCAGCTCAGGTCATGATCCCAGCATCCTGGGATCGAACCCCATATCAGGGTCCCTGCTCCATGGGAAGCTTGCTTCTCCCTCTCCCACTCCCCGGGGTTGTATTCCCTGTCTCACTGCATCTCTCTCTGTCAAATAAATAAATAAAATCCTTTAAAAAATAAAATAATAAAATATCAAAAAAAAACCAAATTATTTAACATTTCTTTTTTACAAGGTGAAAGAACAAATCCTTTCAGATTTTTCAGGGGTTGTCTGGGAAATGTCAATTTCAGTTTAAAGTTAAGATTGCATTTTGGATTTCATTATGGCAAGGTGTAAAAAATGTCAAAAGATTTGAACCCTGGATTAAACAGGATCGTAGATCATCATGAAAAAATACTTAGATTCTCACAAACAAATATAATAAAGACAACACAAAGCACAGGAAATTATTTTGATAAGACACAGAATCTTTGTTTCCTAGGCAGATTACTTAAAAGGTAAAGAAAATTCCTTACAATCTCTTATTAAGAACAGAGCAATAATCCAAGAAAACATCATTGTTTTCAGAGAGAAAACCCAACTCTAGTTTTCCATCAGTATATCATTGGGCTCATTAAAAAGAAAAACAACGGGGCTGCCTGGATGGCTCAGTGGGTTAAGCCTCTGCCTTCAGCTCAGGTCATGGTCTCGGGGTCCTAGGATCGAGTCCCACATCGGGCTCTCTGCTAGGTGGGGGACCTGCTTCCTCCTCTCTCTCTCTCTACTTGTGATCTCTCTCTCTGTCAAATAAATAAAATCTTAAAAAAAAAAAAAAGAAAAACAACAACAACAAAAACCCTTAATAAATAGATCCATTCAATCTTAGCCAACTTGATCACAGATAAAATTCCTCTTCTGCAAACCTTTTACTACTCTCTACATCCATTCAGGTGTTTACATTTTTTCCTCTTCTTCATTCTGAAATAATCAGTGATCTTGATTTAGGGCAAAATGACTCTTTCTTTGCCTTAACAACAACAAAAATCCTCCATTCCAAAGAAGTCAGAGAGAGATAAACCATGATAGACTCTGGACTTTGGGAACCAAACTGATGGTTACAGAAAGGAGAGGGGGGTGGGGGGATGGGGTAACCTGGCAATGGGTGGTAAAGAAGGCACGTGTGATGATGAGCACTGGGTGTTATACACAATTAATGAATCGCTGAACACTACATCAAAAACTAATGATGTACTATATGCTGGCTAATTGAACATAATAATAAACAAATTTTTTAATCTTCCATTTTTGCAGACTTTGCATACAGAGTTATTTCTCTTTACCCTTATTATTTCTAATGGCTTCTAATGGCTTCATTTACATATATTATCATTTTTAACTATATGTACTCTTTATTTTACAGAGATGACTAAGTAAACAATCATAAATTGTAACATATGAGTATTCTGTAGCAGTCTAGCAAATTTTATGAATATACCATCTCTCAATTTCTAGAGATATTGTTATAGTACAAGTTTTACAATATGGCAAAAGGACCTATTTATTCACAAACTCAAATATATTTACTACCACACAAAAGGAAAAAGCCAAAAAAAAATTATGCTCAATAATTAGCATTTCAGTATTTTACTTAGAAATAATCTAGATTTACTTAATTTAATTTAGCATAAGCTTAAGGTTAAAAGGTACTAAAAAGATTTTGGAACTATTTTTAGGCAGACATATTACAACATTGAACAAAGTTCACTATCACCTCACATTATTTCCCTATTTTCTATTTTTACAGCACATGAACATTAGGCAAGCAGAACAAAAGCAAAAACCTAAAAAAGTTAAATACATGGATTTTTCTTTTACTGCTATGTGTGATATACAGGAAGTCATGGATATCAGGCAATTAATTTTTACTGCATTTTTACTTGTACATTTGGTCTTGGGTTGAATTTGTAATTTTTATAATCTTAAATATCTAGTAGATATAACACAACCTTATTTGACTAATAAACCAAGTATAACAAAATGTATGCTTGATTATACTTATTGACGATAACTCAGAAGATACAGATGTTTTATTAAACAATTAAACTAATCTTATTTACCAAAGATTTATCCAAATCATATGAAAGTATTTGAGTTAGTTTCTATGTTTCTGGTAGCTTCAGAAATATTTAATTTTAATAAGCTCTAATTTGCCTCTAAACCAATATGAGTAGACTTCTCCTTTATGGGATTTCATGGATTAATTTGGTAATACCATCTAAAAGTAGAAAAGTTATACACACACACACACACACACACACACACAAACATACATACAAACAAATATCTTACACTTCAATTCTAAAATTTTAACCATAAGTCAGGTAAACACAGAAGTATACTCTGGTCTATGCTCCCCTTGATATTTTTATCCAAATTATGTTTCTGGAAAAAAGAACAAGGTAACATGTTCAATATAAGGGCTAATGCTTTTTACCAATATTTGTAAAGGAGACTTTCAAGATTTTTCATTTGCTCTGATATGTAATCTTATAGAGTCTGTGGATTGAAATTTTAGAGAGAAACTGCCTGAGGAGACATCAAGCAGCATGTCTCCAAATCTTACCTGGTATGTAAAACATGCAGTCTGCTACCAAGTACCTTTCTTCCTTGTTTCAGCTTAAGTAGTTGCTTTTGAGAGCCCTCCCCTTCCCCCCAAGAGAAGCAGGGAGCCTGAAGTTCAA